TCTCCGTGAAGCTGAGATTTCCCCGCGAGACGACGAGGGCAGAGCCCGAATTAGCAAGGGCACAGCCAGTGATTAAAAAATGCCAGCTCTGATTATTCTGGAATGCTGTTCTGGGAGCCTTCCGAGGTGCTGGTGTTGGCGAGGCAGAGTTGCCATCTCTGTTTAAATGGACCAGCCAGACCCAAAGGCAGGCAGAGAGAGGGGAGGGGAGGAAGGACTCTGCACCTGAGGGGTCCTGGTCCCCAAGGCTCCAAGGCCAGAGTCCCCTGCTGGCCTTTGCATGTGCTGTTCCCCCTGTCAGGAACACGCTTCCTGTCACTTCACCCAGCTCACTCCATTTCAGCCTTAGGTCTCGATTGAGAAAGTGGCACCTCCTCCAGGAAGGCCTCCTCAATTTACCCCCTCCTTCCTCCACCTGGACTGGGGCAGGTGACGCCCCTGGGTCCCGCCAGTGCCCTGAGTCTCCTCCATTGCAGCTTTGTTCCCTCTGTCTGTCTCTCCAGCTAGACTTTTTGTTGAGGATTCTGGCTTGTTCTACACATGCAGTTAGGTGAAAAAGAACACCTTTTATGAGGTGTGTATAGAATGCTCCTTTATGTCTTAAAAAGGAGAAGACACTACACACTTATTAGGTGGCTAAAAAAGAAACAGACAGGGGCCGTCCCAGTGGTGCAGCAGTTAAGTTCGCACGTTCTGCTTCGGCAGCCCGGGGTTCGCAGTTTCAGATCCTAGGCCCTGGACCTACACACCACTCATGGAGCCACGCTGTGGCGGCGTCCCACAAAAAATAGAGGAAGATTGGCACAGATGTTCACTCAAAGCCAATCTTCCTCACCAAAAAAAAAAAAAAAAAAAGTCGTTTTAAAAAAGAAAGGGACAATACCAAGTGCTGTTAAAGACATGGAGCAAGTGGAACTCTCATCCGTCACTCACGGGAAGGCAAAATCTTGCAGCCACTTTGGAAAAAGAGTTCAGAAGTTTCTTATAAGGCCAAACACGCCCTCCCCGTATGACCCAGCCAGCCCACCCCTCGGTGTTTACCTAGAGAAGTGGAAATGTATTGACCGCACAGACAGCTGCACGTGAATATTTGCAGCAGCTTTATTATAATCTCCCAAACCTAGAGATGTGCCTGAATTAATGTCCCCGCGCCGGTGAGTGGATAAACAGGCTGTGTCCGTCCACATAATGGGACGCCACTCAGTATTAAAAAGGAGCTAATTCCTAGTGTACACGGCAACACGGACGCGTCTCCGGCGCGTTGTGCCGGGTGGAAGGAGCCGGACAGAAAGCTGCACACCGTGTGACTCCATCTCTGGGTGACATTCTGGAAAGGAAAACTCTAATGACAGAGGGCAGATCAGCTGTCACCCGGGAATTAGAGGTGGGAGGAGGGGCAGGCCACACCGGGGGCACGGCGGAATTTTTGGGGGGTGTTGGAATGCCTCTGCATCTTAATTACGGCGTTGGATACATGACTGGGCCTTTGTCAAAATGCATAGAACTGTACACCTAAAACTAAGAATGTCGCTGTATAAATACACCTGCCTTTAAAAATAAATTCTTTAAAAGGTTAAAAAAAAATGTGTGTGTGGGCGACCATGATGTATCAGCTGGTATATGCATGAAGGAGCTCTGGAGGGGAACAAAGGAGGGAACGGACAATTGCCAAGAACTCAGATGTTGGAGGTGGCAGACTGGGGTCCCCATCCCAGCTCCAGCCTCCCATCCCTGAGACGCTGTGCAAGCCCCTTCCTGTCTCTGATACTCCTGTCACTTCTGTAAAATGGGGCGTATCGTGTATGCTCTGCAGCCTAGAAGAATTGGAAGGCGAACCTTGGAATCCTAGGGGTAAAGGCTTTCTGTGCTCTCCTGGGGGTGCGCGGGGGCCCCCCCCCCCAGAAGGCGATGTTGGAGGGGCAGCCATGAGGAGCACGAGCTCTGGAGCCACGAGACAGCTGTGTTCCAAACCCGGCTCTGCCGCTTGCTTCCTGGGCGGCCTCGGGCTGGTTCCTCAGCCTCTCTGAGCCTCAGTTTCCTCATCTGTAAAATGGGAACAACAAGAGTCGCTATCTTAGGGGGTTGCCCCGAGGCTTTAGAAATATTCAGCCTGGAGAGGGCTTGGCATGGAGCCCAGCACAAAAACAGAAGCTCTAGGAGGGAGAGAAAGAGAAGGGGGTAGTTTTCCTGTGTGATCTGCTCCTGGACTGGCCGCCTCTCTCTGATTGTGTATCCTGCCAGTCCCCCCCACCCTTGATCTTGGTCATCCTCCAACACGCCCGTCAGGGCCTGTCACACACACACACACAGGGCTTTTACGCTAACTGTTCCTTTGGCCAATATTTGCCCTTTAAATTTTCCCATCTCCTCCTCGCCTTTTCAGGTCTCCACTCACACGGCTCCGCCCCAGAGAGACTTTCCTTCCCCAACCACCCAGGCAGCCAAATGTTGGCCCTCGGGCCCAACGAGCTGCTGTTTTTATCAATAAAGTTTTATTGGCACACCGTCACACGCATTCACTCGCACATTCTCCCGGGCTGCCTTGGAGCCAAGACATCCGAGCGGAGTCGTCACGAGAGAGACCGGCTGGCCTGCAAAATTGAAAATATTTACTTTCCGGCCCTTTACAGACAAAGTTTGCCGATTCCCGCTCCACCATGTCCCCCTGGGCTGTTTCCTTCAAAGCAGGAGTCACTGTGTGAGATCTTCTTGTTCCTCTGTCTGTCCATTGACTATCTTCTGCACTAAATGAAGGACGAGAAACACAGCAGCTTTGTTCCCTGCTGTGTGTGCCCGGCACATAGCGGGCATCCAAGAATATTTTTGGGGGAGAGGATGTGTGCATAAAGTAGACTTGAGGGTGCACACATCTGGCCATGCTTTCTAGAATGCTGGGGACGTAAGAAACCCTCTGGACAAACGCTGGGTGTAGTGCACACCCTAGCAGAAGACAGTGGGCGAGCTGGATCTCAGGGTCAAGAAGAGAATCCTGGGGTCTAAGAGTCATCTTGTTACTACAAAGCCCGCCTCTCTGCAGAGGAGATGGGAAACATGGGACAACGGAATGCGACGCGTGACCCTGAGTTGGATCCCACCTTGGGAGGAAATGCCATAAAGGACGCTACTGGGATGCCTGGTGAAACAGGGATGCGGACTGGGGATCAGAGAGTAGTGCTGTAACAGTTTTAACTTCTTGGTTGTAATCAGCATGTTATGGTCACATAGGAGACTGTCCTTGATCTTGGGGACGCGCGCTGAAGTCGTCAGGAATGAAGGGGCAGCTGTGCGTGCAACTTACATGATTGGAACAGAGACAGACAAAGAGACACGTAGAGAAAGAGATAAAGATGCAGTAAATGTGGCAAAATGTTAACAATCGGGGGTGAATCTACGAAAAGATGATACGGAAGCTCGTTGCAGTATTCTTGCAACTTTTCTGTGGGTTTGATCTTTTTGTTTTGAAATAAAAAGGTTAAAAGAAAAAAATTAACAAACAAAGCGGCCATCCTAGGCTTCATTCCCGTTTCTTCCTCTTCCTTTTGCAGCCAGCTCCTTGCCCCTCCTTTGGACTATAAAGCTAGGACTGGCCTCTGAGCAGGAGGCAGAATGAAGGAGCTAGACAGTGTCTCAGATGAGCTCCCACAAGTCAATTTATTGAGTACCTACTATGTGTCACTCCCCCATGGGTTTGACTCAACTTTTCCCCAGGCCATCAATGGAGTTACCCCTTGGTTTGGGCATCTCTATGGACAAAAGCTAGGTGCCTTAGCTGACACTCCCGGTTCCCTGGGTGCTCTGCAGGCAGCCCACTTGTGGGCTCAAATTCCACAAAATGAGCAGCCTTTCAGGGGACTTTCGTACCAGAAAGAGCTCAAGCCAGGACACAAATCTCTCTATTGTCACAATACTATATTTGAGTAGAGTTATATTTTCATGTCTTCATGGTGGGCTGCTGAACTCATGTATGTGCCCCCATTGCCTAACACAATAAAAATCTATTGAGTAGATAAATGGGTGCAATGTCTCAGAAAGTAAGAGTAGCTATGTTATTGGAAAACTTACAAAGTCCAGACATCGTTTCTAGTGCCGTGCCGAGCTGCTTCAGAGCCTGACGCAAAAGAGAAATTCTACAATGTGGATCCTGTCTTTATTTAAAACTCTGATATTTTGTTCATCATGGATTTTTTGCATTAATTTTGAATTCTTAAAACATTGCATTGAAATATTGCTTATCTTGACTCCTGAGTCTTTTTGGTGCCCCCTTAAGTTTTTCATGTGCCTCACTCACCATGGTCCTGATTGTTTCCAGCATGCAGTCCACACCATGTCATTAATTCCTCATCACAATGCTCTGAGACGGTGCTACCATGATCACCAATTCACAGCCGAGGAAACTGAGGCACAGAGAGGGTCGACTGTGCCCAAAGTCCCACAGCGGGGAGGAGAAAATCTGGATTTGAACTCAGGTCTCTGTGTTTTTTGGCTCAGAGCCGACTCAGTAAAGCAAAACAATAAACTGACTTATGAGTTGGGTTTTGGGTCAAGTAACAAAAAGATCTAGGCTGGAGCCCCACCTCTGCCCCAGGCTCCTCAGAGCCCTCCATCACCACGGACCTCAGTTTCCCTATCTGGAACCAGACTTCCATATTCTGAATGTGCCCTGTTTCCCCCAGCACAGTTTACTAGCTTTCTCTCTCCTGATCCAGCAATAGCGCAAGCTTGGGATGGAGAGAAGCAGGTACTGGCCAGGGCTTCTGAGCCAACCCAGAGCTCAGAGACCTAGGAGGGGTTTGGATCAAGTGGGGAAACCCTGGGGCCCACAGTGAGTGTCCCCTCCTCCTCCGGAAAACCCTAACCCAGTTTTTGGGCACATGCCAGACTTTTATTCTGAAGCCGAGGCCACAGCCTATGAGGTAATCTTTGGAGCTGCATTCGAGGCAGAGTCCCATTGGCTGGCTGGCAAAACCCCTCCCCGGGTTCCCGGCGCCCCGCCTTCCCCAATGCCCATAAAAGCGCATGTCCCCGTCTCGGTAGCCACTGGACACCTGCATCTGCCAACAAGACCGGAAGCAGGTGAGGCACACAGGGGAAGGACCGCGGCCGCGTGGGGGGTGGGGGGAGGGAGGAAGGGTGGTCTGAGGGCCCCGGGGCCCCGGGCATGGGGCTGGTTTGCAGGTCAGCGCATGGACGTCTTCCCAGAAAGTGACAAAGACGGCGAAGTTTGACAGTCTGGAAAGCGGAGACCAGACGGGCTGACTACCTGAGAGGTAAGTTCTGGAGACATGACGCGAGGTGGGGAGCAAGTATGAGTCCTGGTTGCTCCCTCTCCGTGTCTCCCCGCCTTGCCCAGGAAGAGGAAGAAATTCGGGGATTGGGGGGGGGGGTTCCAAAAAGTCAGAGGAACAAAGAGCAGAGGGCAGGGGGTGGGGCGAGCCGGGGTAGAGGGGGAAGGAAGTCAAGTTTTCTTCAGCGCAGAGGCTAGGACCGCCGGCCGCCGGCCGCGGAAGGAAATTGCTAATTTATTTCAGCACCGCGACTCCGGACAGCGCCTCTCGGGGTCCGGGATGGGACCCGCGATCTGCTTCAGCACCGGGGCTGCGGACAGCTCCTGGCGGAGGCCCGGGGCCCCTCCGACATCGTTTCAGCACCCGGACAGCGGACAGCTCCCCGAGGTACCCAGGAGCCCTTGTGCCTTGATGGGTGGTCAGAGGGTGGTCAGAGGTGCCCGGCGCTTTTGGAGACTTGCCCCTCATGGAATGGATTTTTCCACGAATTATTTTCCAGATAATAAGCAGGCGCGATGAAACCGCACGTAGAAATCTGTAATTCCCAGCAGGTGAGATGTCCAGTCGGTAGGAGTGTGGGTGAACGGGCGCCTGCCAAGATGACACTGTTGTGCTCTTTCCAGACTTCCGTGAGAAGCATTGTGCCAAGCGTTTTGCATAGATTCTATCATGCCATCTGCAATCCTAGGACACGGGTGTTACGATGCCCAGGTGACAGTTGAGAAAACTGAGACCCAGAGAGGGGCAGGGAATTATTAGCCCAAGGGCTCTCAGCCCAACAGTGAAGCTGCAAGTCAATCCCACATGCAGCCACTCCGAATTCCGTGTTTCTGACATGCCTGGGGGGGGGGGGTGGAGTTGGGGCCTTGGAGATCAGACCCTGCCTCTCTCCAAGAGGACCAGGAATGGAAAACAGGAGGCGGTGGAGAAGCAAGAAGCCCGGGTGTTCCGGCTTGGCTCAGGTGAGGGGAAAGGGCTGCGTGGGGCACCTCAGACACGGGCAGAGGGTGGCGCAGAAGACTGGAGCGGTTGTGGTCTAGTGCTGTGTGGAAGACTAGTGATTTTGTTGTTTTGACGTACTATGACAACAAATCACGGCTTCCTCACAGCGTAGGCTCCCGTCGACCTCCACTCAAGACGGACAGGCAAGGGTGTGGGACAGAGGGTCAGGGAGGAATCGTTTCCACCCAGGGGGCGGGTTGGCTAGTTCCGCGGGACAAGGGCAGGGGCGGGAATAAAACAAGGGCATGCACCCCACGAACACACGGCAATGTGCCACGTGTGGTGTTGGCCATGTCACTCGCATGCCCCCGCAGGCCTGGAATACAAACTATCTGACTCTGAACCCAGGGCCCTTAACATCTTACTACACTTTCCTGGGGGATCAATGAGGGAGCGGCATTTGAAGTTCTCTCCAGACCAGGATTCTACCGAAACTTTTCAATAAAAGTTCCAGCAGTGATCTTTTTTCTCCCCCCCCCCCCACCCCACCATCAGTTCCAGGGGCCAATTACAGGACAGGTGTCCACTCGTGCCTGGTAGTTGTGGCATCATCAACGCCCACCCCAAATTCTCTGTGACATCCTAATGAAGTCAGAGACACCACGTCAAGCTCGTTGCAGCCTCAGAGTCCTTGCCTTTGCTGTTCCCTCAGCTTGGAATGCTCTGCTCCCCAAGCACCCCAAGGCTCCCTCCGCCTTCTTATCCAAGCCTCAGGTCACCAAGAGAATCTTGTCTCCCACCCCCCCCCCCATAGCAAGTCTATATTATACATTCTCATAGACACGGGAAATCTCTCTGGCACCTAGTCCAATTCTTTTGTCTTATCTGTTTACAGGGCTGTCTGTCTCCCCCCACTACACTGTGAGCCCCTTGAGGACAGAGACTGTGTTTGTATTTTCCCAGCACTCATGCATGGCCTTGCACACAGCAGGTGCTCAATAAATGTTTGTTGAATCAGTAAAGGCATCAGAGGATAAAACAACGTATCAGTCAATAAAGGAATTTATGGTTTCAGTATGCACATGAAGGTCCTACTTCTTTCTCCTCGACGTCCCCCACAGAGATGCCACAGGGTGATGGTGGCCGCGGGTGGTTATTGGGGAGTATAATTAAATTTGTGGGCACTCAAGGGCCAGCCAGCCAACGAATAGCCCCAGGAGAGAGCCAGGCTCGTTTAATTAGCAATTACGAGGCATTGATTCCTCATTAGTTCCGGCAACCCCGTCTCCCTCCCCAGCCCCAGACAAATGAAATCTTTCTCTCCCCCAGGAGTACTGCCTCAGTGGGTCCATTAACAAGCAGAGAAAATATGATTATAAGACACCTAAACGCCAGAGGCTCTTTGTCAATGGGGTGGGGAGAATGGGGTTCAATGTCTGGGTTAAGGCTAATTGTGAGAGATTTTCCAGTATATTTAGAATCGCCCTCTGGGAATGGGAGAGCTATCAGAGAGGAAAAGGGACCAGGATACTGCCCTCTGGGGACCCCAATGAAAGAAGAGATTCTGCTCTGGTATTTCTGTGAAAGTTTCCCCTGGGTGTCTCATAATCACTCAAATTAATAATTTCAAGTTGAACACCCAACCCCCCCAACCCCCAGCTTGCACTTCCCGCCACGTCCCCATCAATGTGGCAGCCCCTCCACCTCCCAGGGGCCCCCCCCCCCATCCACCCTCCATATTCATCAAGGCAAGTCACTCTGGTCAGATTCATCCTCTTCTCCAGGGCTCTGCCTCTGTCACCGTCACCGCCTGGGCATCTCACAGTCTCTTCTCCCCTCCCCTCCAAACACACACACAGCCAGTTCACCCTCCACATACAGCGAGGGGTCTTTCCAGAACACAAATCTGGTCCAGTCCCGCCCTTGCCTTCAACCCTTCCAAGACGCACCTTGCCTGCATGCTAAAATTCAAATACCCTCACACACCCTGCGTGGTCCAGCCCCTCCCCGCCGAGAGCGATCGCTTATCATTTTCCCACCAGCTACACTAGACAACCAGCCCGTCCAGGAGCACCTCTCGCTCGGATTCTCAACTTTGATGTGAGGACGGTTCCCCAGGGAAGCTCAAAGAGAATGCAGATTCCCAGGACCCTCCAAGTTTCAATTAGCCAGAGCCAGGCTCTGGTATCTGAATTTTGGCTAGCTTCCCCACTGATTCTTATTTAGAGGAATCTTTCCTTTGATTAAAAAAAAAAAAAAGAAAACCCTGGGGCCGGCCCTGTGGCCAAGCGGTTAAGTTCTCGCGTACCTGCTTCGGCAGCCCAGGGTTTCTCTGGTTTGGATCCTGGGCACAGACATCGCACCGCTCATCAAGCCATGCTGAAGTGGTGTCCCACATGCCACAACTAGAAGGACCCACAACTAAAAATATACAACTATGTACCGGGGGGCTTTGGGGAGAAGGAGGAAAAATTTTAAAAATCTTTAAAAAATAAAAACCCACCAACATTTTGTTTCTCCCAAAGACCTCTGGTGGGGGGCACCTCTGTTAATCTCACCAGTTTCATATTTGTACCCCCGCATGCCCAGTTAGTGCTAGCACCCATAAGTATTCAGTTGAGCCCTTGTCACCTTCACCAAACACAGAAGCATAGAGGACACGCACACCTATAAAGATGAGCCATCTCCCAGAGAGGTGATGAGGGCATCAAACAACCTATTAAGCTATCTTATTATATTTGGTGAGGTCCAGTTACCTTAATTTGGGAATCCATGAAAGGAGAGTGTGTGAGACAAGTGTGGTTTATTTGGAAGGTGGTCCCAGAAAGCGGGAATGAAGGCACCAGAGAATGAGGCAAAGAAGTAGGGAAAGCCAGTCTAGGGGGATAGAGCCCAGTGAGTCTAACAGACCTGAAGTGACAGTGGCTTAAACAAGGTGGAAATTTATTTTCTTCCCATTGACTTAGCAATTCCATGTCTAGATTTACATAAAAGAGAAATGAATATTCATTTCCACGGAAAGAATTTTACAGAAATACGTACAACAGCTTTATTCGCAATAGCCAAGAGCTAACTGGTGAATGGATAAACAGACTGTGGTATAAGCAGACCGTGGGTTACTACTCGCAAAAAAAAAAAAAAAGAGCAAATTGATGATACAAACAGCAGCACAGGCGACTCGAAAAGTCATGCTAAACAAAAGGAGTTGGACACAAAAGGGTCGATACTGCGTCATCCCATCTATGTGACATTTTAGGAATGGGCAAAACTAATCTATATTGATAGAAATCAGAACTGTGGGTGCCTCTGGGGTGGGTAACAGGAATCAACGGGGGGGGGGGGGGGGGGGCCCATTGGGAACTGTCCAGGGTGCTGAAAATATGATCTATCTTGATCAGGGTAGTGGCTCTATGGGTGTACACAATTGTCAAAAAATCACTGACCCATACACTTAAGGTCTATGCATTTTATTATATGAAAAATCCAACTCAATTCTTTTCAAGTAAAAAAAAAATTTAATTTATTTATTTTATATCACATGACTATCTGAGCAGTTCAGCGCTGGCTTGGGGGCAGCGCCCAGACTCCTTCTACATCATTGCTCTGCTATCCTTAGTGTGTCAGATTCATTCACGTGGCCCAATGTGGTGCACTATTTATTAAAATGTTGTCTGTTTTTTATGAGGCCAGATGCGCTCAGCTAAAAGTTGGGGGATTTAGGGTTGTGAGAGAGAAAGGAAAAACAGTGTTGACAACAGCTAGCGACCTCTGCTACAGATACATCAAACAGTTGGAAATATGTTGTGCACATTTTCCAAGCCAGTTTCCACCTGAGACCACCTGTAAGTCTGTATCTCCAGGATCGTATTTCAAAATAGAGCTGTAAGCTCCTGAAGAAGAAAGGCGTATGAATGAGCAACATGGTGGATCTGGTGGGCAGAACCACCTGAAAGGGACACCCATGTCCTGGCAGCTGCTTCAAGACCCTGGAGCGATAGACAAGGACAGAGCAAATGAAACAGACAATCCAGCCCACGGTGGATGCAACACACTTCCGAAAGCTGGGCTCAGATGGTGGACGACAAGGAGTTTGAAAGATGGAGTTATCTGCTTAGGTAACATTGAAGGAATGAACTGCCCGGGAGACTCATGGAGAACATTTGAGACCTTGCCTTTGAGGCACTATGTGGGTTGAAAGTTAAAATTAGTCAACCTTGGTGCCTGACTGTTTCTCAGAATTATAAGAAGTATTTGCAGGATGGGAAGAGCGAGAGACCCACATGCAACGTCTTGAGCACCAGGCAAAGTGGGTGCAATAAATAACTTCTAGTTTCATGATGGGCCTAGACACCTTTCCACGGGACAATGGGGCAAGGAGGCGAAGGCCGCTGAGCAGGGATATTGGGCTAGTTTTTCTCCTCTGTCGGCCTCAGCTTCGCCATCTGTAAAGTGGGGATTATGGCTTCTCTCTTCAGGCTGCTGTAAAGATGAAGGAGACAACGTATGTAAATGCATGGCACCACGCCCAGCACACAGTAAGTGCTCAATAAATAACGATGATGCCAAGGACAACGGTGACAGATAAGTAGGTAGATAGGAAGAAAAATATAAAGGTGGATAAATAATGGGTTGCTAGATAAGTGGAAAAGGAGGAAGGAAGGAAGAGAGGAAGGAAGGCCGGAGGGAACAAGTCACCTCCATCCAGCGCCGGAGAGGGGTGGCGAGGGCAGAACTCAGGCGTTGCATCGTCCAGGGGCCGCTGTTTCTCTTGGCTCCGGTGGTGGTCGCCTCCCACCCGGGAGGGTGGGGGTAGAGAGAGCTCTGATTATATCCTGTTCCTTAATGGGTCCTTCAAAAGAGAGTGGCTTGGGTTTCCATGACAACAGGCAGGCAGCATCACGAGGAGATGGCTGAGTTCCCCCCCTACACACACATCTGGCTCTGGAATCTGGCCCCTTCCATCCTTCCTTTTCTGGATCCTGGGAGCCCAGCCTGTGCCCAGCCCAGCCCCGAGCGGGCAGCCGCGTGGGTTTTGAGCGCTCATTCACACTGGGACACTCGGAGCTCCTTCTCTGGGGCCCCAGCCCGGTGAGGGAGGACGGACAGAAACAGCACATGCCGGGCACACGTGCAAAGCGAGGCAAAGGGGAAGGGCGCAGGGAGGGGGTCCCAGGGGCCGCCGGCTCACCCCCAGTTTTCCCCGTCACAGGTCCAGCCCGCCGAGGAGACGGGAAAGGCTCTGAGGTGGAAACAGGACTGGACACGGCGAGACTTCAACCGACAGTGACCACGCAGGTTACGGAACGTGCTCCTCGGGGCAGAGCCGGGGGACCTGACAGACGGCGGGAGAAGCCACAGTCGGAGAAATTCGTCCTCGTTTTAGCCCACCTGGTTCGGATTCAGCGATAGATAGTTGTCCAGAGAAGGAATGCGTGAGGGGCTTGCAAACGTTGCCGGGGAAAGGAGCTGCAAAGGAACCATGGAAGGCACCGGAATCCGACGGCGCATTAGAGGCTGGTGCAGCTCAGTGTCAAATGTCCCGATTTTGATCGGTGAATTGTGGTTCTGTAAGAGAACGTCCTTGTTCCTAGGAAACGTGCACCGAACTATTTAAGAGGAAGGGTTGTCAAGATTCCAACTTAGTTTCTCCAATTGTCCAGAAAAAAATTATAAATACGTTGTGTCTATATATTTTTATAATATATTATATTTTATTTATATAAAATATTATTTACAATATATTGTGCTTTGTATATGCTATATGATTTATAATATATTTTATACATTATATATTTTATATATTGTATGCATATGTAACATATTAATAATACATTATTGTATCTTGGTATAAATTATAAATATATTAGATAATATAAATATTATGTATCATATTATATACTTATGTACCATATTTATATACTTATATGTAACAAATATATATTATATAGACGATAGTTTATATAATTAGACTATACAATATGATAGTATATATGTGTATATATATAGAGAGAGAGAGAGAGATGAAGCAAACGTCACAAGTTGCAAACCACTGAGGGATCTGGGTAAAGAATATGCAGGAGG